GACATTATAAAGCTTTTCCTTGCTGTTTATATGATTCTCTAAGTATGATCTTGTGAGAGAAATTCAAGCATGGCTGAGCCAAGTGAGCTGCATACACATCTCCTAGCATGCTAGGGGATACTCAGGAGTTTGAGCATGGTCACTCTCATGTGTTGAGACTAGTTAGGAGCTTGATGAAGAATGTCCTGTTCCTCCTATTCACTGCCTCCATTGCTCACTCAAAAGATCACCTTATATAGAAATGTGAGAGCATCAACCAATCACGTTATGCCCAGCATACAGTGTCCCTACCCTTGCTCCTTGATTATATAAGTGATTGCTCTGCCTATTAACAATGGAAGTGTTCCAGAAACCTCCCTGGAGTCTGCCTGGTGATTCCATGCCTCACCCTCCCAATCCGAACTTCAGAACCAGAGTACCTGTATGACAACAAACAGACAAACAACAACATCATCTGAAGTCAATATTAATTTTGCTAACTCGGATAGTCTGGTGGTGAAGTCAATATTTCTGTTTTGACACAGTCCTTATAGATGATTCCAATACCCACTAAACTTTAAGACACACTGTTTTAAAATGGCATCCCCTCAAAATAAAATGTCTGGAGCAGAGAGGTTTGGTACATATTTGAGGCACACACTCAATAAAGTCCTATCAAATATAGATCTTGAGAAAAGTTATGTTTGATGCAACCTTTCTCATTTACTTGAACAGAACAATTTCCATGTTAAAGATTTTATAAATGACAATAAAAGTATATAGTGTACACATAATACATAAAGAAGAATTAAGAATTCTTTTGAATATTCAAGTTAAAAATTGGCCACACCGCCACAAAATTGTCTTTTATGCTATTAGTGCATCCATGAGATTATTCTTAGCCAGTATCAAGAGATTTCTATACAACTTAGTTAAATGACTATCATTATTCAGCTCTAAATACTCATAAATATATGCATTTACATTATTTCATGGAAAAACAAAACATCAAATATTTTATCAAAAATAATGAATTGGCAAATGTGTTTATTTTGTCTCATTCCTGGTATCCCACATTTAAGAAAACAGTGTGTATGAAGGAATGAACCTATAAGAACCAGAAGTGAGAATGGGATTACATCAAAGGCAGTGATTTTGGTGAATTTGTGGAAGGCATAAAATATTAAGTTTCAATTGAAGAACAAAGTAGCGAGGAAGAATCTGTAGAAATGATGTGTGAGAAAGCTCGAGAGAAAGTCTGAGCTTCTGAGCAGGCCTCAGACACTTCTTCTATGCTGTCATTTTTTATCTATGTCCATCCATACTTATTTATTTAATCTATTATCTTTCTGGATTAATGATGTTTTTTAGATTTCTCAGAAACAAACCAATACACCTGTAAAAGGCCTTTTACAAAGCATCAGAGGCAAAGAGATGTGACACACCTCTTTTCAGTACTCAAA